GTGAAGCAGTTCCCTGGGGGTCGTCTCTCGATGGGGCGAAATAGAGTCGTCGTCAAGATGCTTCTTTGGGGGGCCTCTTGGGGTCTGTTGAGAGGCCGTTCGGGGGCGCCTGGGAGACATGTTTGAAGCCTTCTGGGGCTTCTTTTGGGCCTCCTGGGAGTCTCCTGGGGCCTCTTGGCGACATCTTGGGGCCTCTTGGAGGCCTCTTGGGGCCTCTTTGGGACCTCCTGGGCGCCTTCTGGGACGGAGGGCTCCATTTTTGAGTTCTCGGTATCCCTCCTGAGTCCCTCTTGGGCCCGTCTTGGGGCCTCTTGGTCCGTCTTGGGCGGCACTTGGGCCGTCTTGAGGGCTCTCTTGGGTCGTTTCGGCGCCGTCTTGGGAGCTTCGTGGGCCGTCTTGGAGCGGTCTTGGGGGCCTCTTGGGCCGTCTTGGAGCGTCCGGAAGCCGAAAAAGCCAGAACACAAAAAACATCGAAAAAAACAAATGAAAATCAACGATTTTGGCCTCTTGGGGCTCTCTTCGGAGGCCTCTTGGAAGGCTCTTGGGGCGTCTTGGAGGCCTCTTGGGCTGTCTTGGGGGCCTTTTGGGCCGTCTTGGGGTCATCTTCGGCGTCTTCGAGCGCTCTTTGGGCGTCTCGGGGGCCTCTTGGGCAGTCTTGGGGGCCTCTTGGGGCACTCTGAGCGCGCTCTGGGGAGCCTGAGAGGCCGCACCCAGAAGGAAAACCATCTCTGAGTAGACTTGGTCGGGCGGCGGTCGGGCGTTGGTCGGGGTACTTTTCGCCGGGGGACCCCCAGGGGCCGCCCCGCGCGCGCGAACTAGAAATACTGTTAATACTGTTAACCAGTTACCGGAGATCTTAGCACGCCCTGGCCCGTTGGGCCGGCGAATTTGGTCAAAGCATACGATATGCAAAACGCTTTCGGATGGGGACATCACTAGCGCCTCCTTAACGCACATCGGTCACGAGGTGCTGATGAGTATTAGGATGAGCTTCTCACACGCTAACTCTCCACAGGGTTATTGCTGTATCAGGCCCGCGACGGCGACGCTATCATGCACCATACGACTGGAGGCCGCATGGGGGACTCCAATGAACCAGAGCTGTCGTGGAATCGATGTTCCCCTCTCACGGCCGCCTGGCAGAGATTACTTTGCCACATCATTGGCGACGATCTCCATTGTAAGGGCTCCGTGCTCGAGCAGTGGTACGACGCAGCATTCGGAGGGTGAATCGACGACTTCATAAGAATTTCGATAGTCCCGTCGGGCACAGTCAAGGAAGCGCTAAGCTTGCATTGTATTGATAATCGCATCATTGATCGGTATCTCCACGAGGGCGGGCACGCACAGCACGCAGACAAACACGATACGTTAGTGCACCTCGCCACCACCAAGGATACGAAAGAAGCGGAGGCAAGGGTATCGGGCAGGCCCATGATTGACCGTCCCCACGTGGGCGGGCACGCGAATGTGAACGGCAGCGTTCGCAGAGAAATTCAAGCGCATATCCGAGCAGGAGCTACCAGATGGTGCAATATTGGACAGTATTGGTTCGCACCTGGACCTTGGCGTAGCCAGCGCAGCACTTTCCTCGCTAACGTCGCTGGCAGAATATGGTCACGACTGGAAGCCTAATAGCCTCACACCACTAGAGATACAGGGTTTAGACACGTCTATTGCAACGAAATTGAGAGCTATGTTGCACGGGCGCGCGCACACGGAGTACGAAGATGGCACGCGCACATCCTGGATCACGAAACGAGTGTTCCAAGAGCGGCAGACCCCCGACTGGCATCGAGCTCGTGATGAGGAGGTTGGGGCGGTCGCAGGCACTGACTAAGAAGCCCGAGCGTCACCGCCATGACCTTAGCATCTTCTACGGGGAGTGCAAATTTCAGACTCGGGCCAGGGAGGCAGGTTACAAGGTTGCTGACGTCGCGGCGCTGCCGAACGGCGAGCTGAAACCGCCCCCGCAGATGCACCCTTGGGCCCGCCAGTTGCACCAGGATTTGTCGGTCGTCCTTCCCCGCCCGATCGGCGAGGAGTTTATGGAGGGTTGGCGCGCGCGCACCACGGCACTGCTCTTCGGGGGCCCTGAGGCCTCTGTGACTTTCAGATATTGTGATTTTCGGGCCCTTCGGACTACGACGACGGCCCACGAGCGGGCCCCACCTGATTTTCTCCCGGAGCAGCTGCCCAGGGACGAGGAGATAGGGGGCGCGGACAGCGACGCTGCTGAGCTGGCGCCTCTTCGTTGTGGGATCGAGGAATGTCGTGCACGTTTCGCCAACAATAGAGAGTTGGTCAAACACTGAATAAACGCCACCACGGTCGCGGGCCACGGCACGCCGTCGACCCTGTCTGTTCCCACAGTGGACAACGGATGCTTGAACTGTGAGACCGTCTTCAGTTGCGCCGACCACACCTGGAGACACCTCAGTGGAGCGTGGAGAGCGGGCGAATGCATACCGAACCTGGTTAGTCACGCGTATGAGTGGATCCTATCGGCTGAGACAACATGCCCGCTGGCGGATGAATCAGACGTGGCCAACTGCCAACTCCATTGCGACACACCGACGGAGCTGCGGAACCACCTGGCCACGCGCACCCCACCCGCCCCCGTAGGGTTTTAGCTCAAGACTTCGAGGCCCCAACCAGCTCACAGCAAGCGCGCTGGCGTTGGCGCGCGAGTGCCGCCGCCGCCTGCCCCTCGTGCGCCGGAGGGCACCGCTCCTGCACGTGCTCTTCTACGCGCTGCACGCGATCGGTTCGCTGAGCTTCGTCGAGCGCGCCGATTGGCCCGAGAAACTCCTGCGGCGCCCCGCCGACGACCACCTGTCCAGCGCCTTCTGCCAGATCACTCGTGGATTTCGACCCCGACCAGTACGCGACCTTCCAGAATCACAGCTGCGAGCGCACCGCTGCTGACCCCGCGACCGCCACCTGAACGCGATGACATCAGGAGCGGCGAGGCCAGGGGAGGAAGGAGCAGCGGGCCTGCTGGGCCCGCCGACGGCGGCCAAGCCGCGAGCTCCGCGGAGGGTCGGGGCGGGCAACAGTGGCGACAGGGGCCGGCTGCCTCCCTCCACAAGCTCCACCCTGGGGCCTGGGGGTTCTGGCAAAGACTCCACGCCCCCCGCGCCGAAGACGGCAAGGGCGGAGGGCGGCCCGAAGGACCCGACGGCGATGGTCATCGACGCCGAGGGCGCGAACGAGACCGACGGCAAGAACCTCGGCGAGCGCCAGGGTCAGGGCGGAGGCCAGGGCGGCAAGGGCAGGCACCGCGGAGGTCAGCGCCACCGCAAGGGCAACCACACCGAGAAGAAGTGGAACAGCCAGGACGTGGCCCTCACCCAGCGCATCACCACCATCGCGAAGCTCACGCTTCAGAACGCTCAACGGCAGCGGCTCACGACGGCGACAGTGGTCGACTCTTTCACGACCCCGAAGGACCACCCCGTCATCGTCGGCCTCGAGAACACTCTCGACCAGCAGCGCAAGGAGCTCGACGTGGCCCGTCAGGAGGGCATCGAGGCGCTGCGGGGTCTTGGGGGCCCAACGGCGTCACTCACCGTCACGCTGCTCGAGACGCTGGCTGGCCTCGACATCGGCAAGGCCCTCAGGCAGCATATTACCGACTACCTGGCGAAGATCGAGCCGCCCGACGGGGCGGGGGCGGTCGTGTCTCGCGAGACCCTCGACCTCGAGATCCAGGTCATCAAGATCGAGTCCCTGTACGACGAGAAGAAGGCCAAGCTGATGCTCGCGGCCCCGCACTGGCCCATGCGCGGGGTGATCACACACGCGTTCAGCGCGGAGGGCTTGGCTACGAGGGCGACGGGAGTCGCCCCCTTTGGGTGGCTCGAGGACGAGTTCTCGAAGTGGCTGGACGCTCTGACCCGATAAGATTTGTGCACGGCGAAACCTTGAATATTACAGCAGAGCCAGCGCGCCCACGGCTCCCGTCTTCAGACTTTCGGCACAGCCTGAGCCCGCGGAGCGCAGTCCTGACCTTCTCGATCCCCCAACTTCAGACTCGTCTGAGCCATGGCCGTGGGGCGACTAGGTGCATTGTGAGCGCGATTATGCTTTTCGGTGGGAGAGAGCGGGGACGATCATCAATTTTTTTCGGGCCACAGCCTGGGCCAGGACGATCCTCTGTCACCTCTACAGATTCCCTGATCCCGTCGGTCCCCCACCCTCGTTCGCACACGCAATGGCCGACGGCGGTGCATTGCATTCTCTTGGGATTCTGTGGAACAGTATTGTACGCGTTACCCCGTGCAGCGTAACCCACCGATGCCATCCCGAGGCATCCGCCCGCAGGCTGGCTCTGCCCGCGCTGTCGCGTGAAGCGTTGGTGCGCTCGCCCCGTCCTGCGACGGCCTACCGAAGCCACAGCTGTACCAACTTCTCTCATTGTTTGAGGACGACTCGTCGAGGTTTTTTCATTACAAAAAGGTTATCATTTTCGTCGTCCTCCTCCTCTTCCTCCTCCTCCTCCTCCTCCTCCTCCTCTTCCTCCTCCTCCTCCTCCTCCTCCTCTTCCTCCTCCTCCTCCTCCTCCTCCTCCTCCTCCTCCTCCTCCTCCTCCTCCCCCTCCTCCCCTTTCGTCCCCCCTCGACCTCGACGGCGATCGGGGGGCGCAGAGACGGCGCAGCCAGAGCCTCCTGGAAGCTCCCTCGGCCGTCTTATAGGGCGCGCTGGGCCGTCTGGCGCGTTCGGAGTCCGCCCCAGGACGAGCAGTGGCATCGGTATCGCCCGGCGGCCAAGAAGACGAGGAGGGTGACGAGCGGGAGGGAGGAGGGGGAGCAGGAGGAAGAGGAGGAAGAGGAGGAGGAAGAAGAGGAGGAAGAGGAGGAAGAGGAGGAGAAGGAGGAGGAGGAGGAGGAAAAAGAGGAGGAGGAGGAAGACGAGGAGGAGGAGGAGGAGGAAGAGGAGGAGGAGGAGGGGGCGGAGGCTTTTATTGGCCCGAGCGACGGCGACGACGGCGATCGCAGGACTCCTTCATCGCGGACCTGGTCGTCGGCCTGCGCACCGGCGAGATCAAGACTGGGGCGCCCTGCCGGTCCGAGAGGCCGCGCGCAGACCCCCCGCGAGCGCCGCCGCGCGGAGCCGCCGACGGCGCCGAGCCGGCGGCGGCGGCGGTGGCGGCCCAGCCGGCGACGACGACGACGAGCCGGACAGGGTGAGGACGAGGAGGAATTCGTTACAGAGTTGGTTGTCAAGCAGTGGCGAAGCGTCCTGGCTTCCCTATAGGCCCACCAAAGAGTGTTCTAAGAACGTTTCTGGCTGAGGCTGTCCTGTTTGAACACACCGGGTGCGTGTTATAAGAACACTGCGTGTGTTTTTACAACATGTCTGGGTTCGAAGAACATGTCGTGGTAGGCCTACAGCAATGCCGGGACGCTCGGTCCCTTCTCGATTCCGCAACGCTCTGAGAAGGCCGCGGCGCCCGAAACATCCTCCAGAGCCGCGGGATCTCTCAGGTTCTCGCTGTCGAAAAGTTTCGAGCGCCTTCGAGCCGCGGGGTGGTCTCCATCAGGTGCGCCTCGTCGAGCGAGTCCTGGGGGGACCCGGATCGTCCCGAGGGGCCAGCGGAGACTTGAGTTGTGACCCGGGGGCCAGACGGCGAGGATCACCTGGCGGGATGGGATCAGTGCGGGATGCAATCGCCCACTCATCGCCAACAGGGGCCAGGGGCCTGATAGCTCACCGCGCCCAGGAGCGTGCAGACTCGCTACCGGAGGTCCGTCGTCTCTCTATCGGCGATGCATCGCTGATGCCTGGTCGATGTACCCCCTCTGAGGCAGTCCCCCCGGATCGTTGCCCCTCACCACGCTTTAAGTCGGGCATGTCCCTCTACAGGAGGAATATTTAAAGATAGTCGAACATAGCTTTGGGACGATGTTCTTTTTGTTTTGGCTATTTTTGATTATTGTTCGACTCTTGTTGATTTGTCTTCCGAAACCCGCCTGTAGGAGGACATGCCCGACCTAACACTACGCCTCGGTGTGAAGGAAACAGGTCCCGAGGGGAGCGGGTCCGAAGAGTTTTGTCCGCCGTGCTCGGGGCCGCCTGCGTCCTTTAAAGGGCCCCCCACATGGGGCCGTTGACTGGGGAGCGGCTCGGGGGGAGGCGCGGGCCTTCTGGGAGAGGCCTCGGGGTCCAGGGCCCGTGTCTCGAGGAAGGCGCCGAGATGGATTTGAAGGTGCGTGGTCTGTCGTGAAGTCGGGCGTGCCCCTCTACAGGAGGATTTGTTGTTAAAAAAGTCACCAAAAAATGCTATTGATGCTTAAATATTGTTTGCATAATGCTTCAGCTGTGTTTCCAACATCCGCCTGTAGGAGGACATGCCCGACCTAAGTTCAGCGGCGGATCCCGTTGCCGTACAGTGTCGGCGAGTTCAGTCGCCAAATCGGGCGGCGTGGCCTCATGTGGAGTACATTTGCCCCGATGGGTAGAGCTGGCGCCCGCGCGCCAGAGCCACGGATGCATCATCCAGGTTAGGCGCGCGCCCGAAGATTCCTTCAGGACACGCTTCCCCCCTGGCGAACGACGAGGGGGAGGTCAGGGAACGCCAAGCTGCATGCCAGCACCGATCCCGGCCAGGCCAGTCGTGGGCCCAGGACCAGTGGTCGGTGCGCGCGCCTCCTTGGCCAAGGCGCGGGCGCGAGGAGGGCACGCGCCCGGGAAGGCAGGCCCTGAACCCATTTCGATGCGATCGATCTTCGGGGTCCCCAAACGGTGCGGTGACCACACCGTGTGGTGAGTTACAGTGGAGGTCCATGCCAAGAAACACCCTGCTTGCCTCCAGGGTGCCCTGGGCTTCTTGGGTTTCGATGGTTTTGCGATGGGAATCGTGACGTTCCCACACCAAAGATCGATGGACGCCCTGGGGTCTCAGGGTTGGGTTTCTTGTGGAAGGTCTCTTGTGGGCTGGCCTCCCCTGCAGCGGGGGTTCGGAGTCACCGCACGGTCTTGGGACGCGGGTCGGTCTCCGAGGACGGCTCGGGCGACCCGGGCCTCCAGGGCCCCGACGCCGTGCGGTGACGAGCTGTGCGGGCATCGGGTCGAGGCGGATCGGGCTGGGGGCATCGGGACCCGGACGAGAGCGGGCCGGACTGAATTCTGGGGGTCCCAAAACCGTGCGGTGACAGAGGTGGCGGGGCGGGGGTGCCACGCCAGGGTGTCTCGTGGCGGGTTCTCGCTCGAAGAGGGGCCAGCCGCTGGACCCCAAGCAGAGTGTTCTAGTGCACCATGTGGTGCAGCCTACGTGGTGCAGCTAATGTTGGAAAACTTTGAGTTGCCCACTCCACTGCTCGCGCAATCATCGCACCACGATTCCTTCGCCTCCTCCTTCCTGTCCGCGTCGTCCGCCTCTGTGCTCTGCCTCTCCGGCGTGGTCTCTCTAGTTCGGGTTCCAGCTTCGAAGACGCTGCGTGCCTCTGCTGGCTCTCCCGCAGGCTCGCGAAGTACAACCAGCTCATCCGCATCGAGGAGGAGCTCGGCTCCAAGGCGGGCGCCGAGCTATCCTCGAACCGCGTATCCCCAGACATGACCGCGTCGTAAAAAGAAATCCGCGTCAGGCTCGGCGGGCCCTCGCCAGGCCTCGGGACCGTCAAACAACGACTCAGGACGAAAAAACAGTCCCAGGGAAAGTGTCGGGACTTCCAGGGACCCCGCATTGACAAAATCAGGACGTCGCCTTTCTGGGTCTTTTCTGACATGGAGGCCAGACAAGGTACACGGTACGGTATCGTCCAGTACGGCAGCCGCGGCCTGCACGGTGTTGTCCAGTACGAGGGTCGCGGCCGGCACGGTCTTGTCCGGTATGGCAGCCGCGGCCGGTTGGCGCAGGACGGTATGAAGCGGTGCCAGTTGGCCGGTATCTCGTGGGGTAGCGGCCACCATGCTCTCATTCGAGAATCGCAGTAGATCCCTCGACCATCTAGTTCAGATGCAGTCGGAGGATGAGGAGGTGGGCGCTTGGGGATGGGCTCTGCTGTTCTTCTAGGCCTCCAGGACCCCCCGGGAAAAAACAATTCAAGGAAGCCTCGAGAGCCCCCAAGGACCCTTGCAGACCTCCAGGGAAACATACGGGGAGGCTCCCCGCTCTTCGAGGCCATGGGCACCTCCTCTCTCCTCATCCTGCTCCCCCCCCTCTTGTCTCCTCCTCCTCCTGAGGCAGATGCAGTGGGGGCAAGGACTGAGCGGGAGGGGCAGGAGAGGAGGGGGGAGGCACGACAAACGCTGCCCACCCGAGCGTGCGGTGAAGGAGAGGATCGCGATGAATAGCGCGCCACATCTGCTGAGCTGCAGAGTGTGCAGGAGTATTCGCCAGCAGGCTTGACCGGCTCGCTGATCAGGCTCGTGTTATGATGTTCCAACCTATGTTTAGCCCTGATCGCCAGGAAGAATTTCGAGCGCCCAAAAAGCTACCGACATTCGATGGTTTTCACGTGTCGGGCCCTGGGGAGACACTCGCCCGACATTGTTTCGACACTCTTTTGACACTGTTCTTGGTGCTCGAGATTATTTCTGGGATGTGGTCCTTAAGTAGGATGGGAACAACATAAGGCTCGTGTCGTGCAGTGGCTCTCGGGTGCGGTGGGCACGCCTCAATGCACGGCTCGAGCAGGCATCGGGGCCACACGTGACCGCTGCCTGATGTTCTGAATGTCTCTGGCTGCCCTTCGGTGCGCGACCTCTTGCCCAGGGAAGCGCATCCAGGAGAGGTGCTGTGGTCTAGGCCTCCTAGACTCAAGTCGGGCCTGTCCCTCTACAGGAGGAGTATTCAAAAATAGTCCATACTCTGGGGACGATTTTTCAACATATTTTTTACTGTTTGGGTAATGGGTCCTGCGGAGTAAGGCACCGCGGGGATCTGAGCGGGACCTCGCCGTCCCTGGGGGGGGCTGCGATCTGCGACACCGTCGCCATTTTCGAGGGCTGCTGGTGGGTCGTGCGGAGTGAGGCACCGCGGGGATTCGAGCGGGACTTCGCCGTCCCTGGGGGACTGCGATCTGCGACACCGTTGCCACTTTCGAGGGCTGCTGGTGGGTCCTGCGGAGTGATGCACCGCGGGGATCTGAGCGAGATCTCGCCGTCCCTGGGGGGCTGCGATCTGCGACACCGTCGCCATTTTCGAGGGCTGCTGGTGGGTCCTGCGGAGTGAGGCACCGCGGGGATCTGAGCGAGACCTCGCCGTCCCTGGGGGGGCTGCGATCTGCGACACCGTCGCCACTTTCGAGGGCTGCTGGTGGGTCCTGCGGAACGAGGCACCGCGGGGATCTGAGCGAGACCTCGCCGTCCCTGGGGGGGCTGCGATCTGCGACACCGTCGCCACTTTCGAGGGCTGCAGGTGGGTCCTGCGGAAGTGAGGCACCGCGGGGATCTGAGCGGGACCTCGCCGTCCCTGGGGGGGCTGCGATCTGCGACACCGTCGCCACTTTCGAGGGCTGCTGGTGGGTCCTGCGGAACGAGGCACCGCGGGAATCTGAGCGAGACCTCGCCGTCCCTGGGGGGCCTTTGTAGAGCTGCTGTGGGATACGTTAGGCGCAACGGGCGCATGGCACAGCCAACAGGGGTGATTTTGTGAAACAGACCATCTGCCGCGCGATGGCCATAACGTTGCGCCTACACGTATCCCGTGGGGGCTCTCAAGAGCTGCTGTGGGATACGTTGGGTGCAACGGGCGCATGGCACAGCCAACGGGGGTGATTTGTTATTACTTAGATCTTGATCGGGGGCCTGCGAGCCTTCCGATTGCTGCTCGCAAAATCACATGCGTCCATGTTACGTCATCGCCCCCGTTGTAGCAATCCTGACGTACTTATGCCCCGCATTGCGCAAGGGTTGGGTACGTCGCCAGGGCAATTTTACTATTTGGGTATATTTTTGAGTATCTTTAATCTGTCGCCCAAAATCCGCCTGTAGGGGGACATGCCCGACCTAATCCTACATTGGGTCGGAGTAGACGTGGTCGAAGGATCGCGCCGCATCGTCGAGGCATCGCCGACCGATGCGGCTCGATGCGGAGCCCGAGTTTCCCCACGCCGACGGCGCCGATGCATCTCCGACGTCGCCGGTGCATCGCCAGTGCATCGCCGATCCGAGACATCCGCGCGGAGCTCCGAGATTTGACGCTCATGTCGGTGTTCGTTCCCCTGGCATCGGCGAGCTGATCCGACCCCAGCTAGGAGGCCTCTGAGCGGGAGGCCGCGGCGAGGCTTGAGATCGGCACGCACGATATGGGTACGGAAAGAGTGGGTACAATGCCCAACAGCAGTTCCTGTTCATTTTGAACAGGACTCGCTGTCCGCGCCGCCGCGGCCGTGTCCGCTTGAGACAGAAGGCCGCCTGCCCACACAGCGGCCGCTGTTGGCTTGGGCCAGCATTTGTTGTGGGGCATTGTACCCATTTTTCCGTACCCATTTCGGGCATAGTAGGAGGGAGGAGGAGGGAGGAGGAGGGAGGAGGCGGAGGGAGGGGAGGAGGAGATAGGAGGAGCAGGAGGGGAAGAGCAGGAGGAGAGGAGGAGGAGAGGAGGAGGAGGGAGGAGGAGGAGGAGGAGGAGGAGGGAGGAGGAGGAGGAGGAGGAGGAGGAGGAGGAGGAGGAGGATGAGGGGAAGGAGGAGGAGGAGGAGGAGGAGGAGGAGGAGGAGGAGGAGGAGGAGGAGGAGGAGGAGGAGGAGGAGGGAGGAGGAGCAGGAGGAGGAGGAGGAGGAGCCAAAGCGCTCGGCGCGTCGCGGGCCCCGGTCCCTCGTGGCCGAGGCTGGCCCCGGCCAGAGTCCTTGCTCGGCTCTCACTCGTGATGCAGACGACCCGCACGGTGTGGATGGGCAACCTCTTCGAGCACTATGATGCTCCAATCTACTCCAGATTTCGTAATAAAAGGAGGGGGGTCTCATTTCGGGGGGAGGTCTCTTCCAGGCTATCTTGGAGGGTCTGGGGGGGTCTGGGGACGATGTTTTGGAGGGCTCTCCCACGGGGGGGGGTCTGAAATGGCTTGTCTTGGAGGGTCCAGACCCCCTCCCTTTTATTACGAAGTCTGGGGTGCTTTTAGCCGTGACCACCAGGAAGAATGTCGAGCGCCAGAAAAAGTGCCGAAATTCAAGGGTTTTCACGCGTCGGGCCCTGGGGAGACACTCGCCCGACACCGTTTCGACACTGTTTCGACACTCTTTTGACAATGTTTCGGGTGCTCGGAATTACTTCTGGGATGTGGTCTTCCAGTAGGATGGGAACAACATAATCCGAGCATTGGGTCGGGCCTGTCCCCCCCAACAGGGGGATGCTGGGCGACGAAAACTGAAAAAGATAGTCAAACAATATTCCAACAATGCTCGAGAATAGTCGAAACCTCGTCCCCAGACTGTGTGTTGACGATGTTTGAAGATTCTCCCTGTAGAGGGACAGGCCCGACTTGGCCGCGCCCCGCTCGAGAGGCTTCGAGGTGTCCCTCCAAGGCCCTTGCATGCTCCTCCTGCGTCCTTACGATACGGGTGGACTAAAGGACGGTGGTTGCACTGGCTTGTCAGAGCACGAGTTGCCCTCGGTGCGACCGCCCGGGCAGAGGACCGCTCCTCTTCGCCGCCCCCGTTGCTCCTCC